ATGCACAGAAAAGAGAAGAAAAAAAAAAGTTGAGACAAAGTCAGTCGTCTAAAATACCAGGTAAAAGAAGTATAAAGACAAAGAATGGATTAGAAGACCCTTATTTTCCTCAAGCTTCAAATAACATTTTAGTATCTGATGATCTTCTATGTTATTCTTGCGAAATTATTTGGACAAATAACTTAGATAACCAATGGCTTGCGTGTGAGCAGTGTTCAAATTGGTCATGCATTGAATGTGTCTTTGATAATCGTCCAGCCATGGAGTTTATTTGTAACGAATGTGTGTAAAATAATATATATTCTTTTTTAATTAAATGATTTCATTTAAATAACACAAATAATACTAACATTAAAATAATTATTTTAATGTTAGTATTATTTGTGTATGTGCTTTTCTGTATTTTATTCGCATCCTGAATTAGGGACATAAACACCTAATTCCGGATAAAAACAATATTTTTTAAAAATAAAATAAAAGATAGATTTATATCGAAAAAATAATATTTTTTATATCGTTTTATTTGTCTTGTTATGAAGTTTATTTATTTAAAAAAATTATTTCAAAATTCTTTATATTGAGCTAGTTATGACAATTTCAGTCCTAAACCATCCGGAATTAGGGGTTTTTACGGTATAAAGTACTTAAAAAAACCAACACCAGAAAATAAAATTATTTATAAAAGTTATGCTAAAATAAAAAATAGCAAAAGAATTAAATAAATATTTCGTGTCTGTTGGCAAAAACTTAGCTAAAAATATTCAAAATATGATTAATCCGATAAATGATTACGTGTTTCCATTAATCTCTAGTTTAAATAAATTTGAAGTATCTTCTTCAGAATTTGAAAGTGCTTTTAAAATGCTTAAAACTAATAAAGCGGTTGGTCCTGATGATATAAATTGTAATATAGTCATAGATTCATACAATACCATAAAACATATTCTTTTTAAAGTTTTTAAATGTTCTATAAATCAAGGAATTTTCCCCGATCAAATGAAAATAGCCAAAATAACGCCTATATTTAAAGGAGCTGAACCATTAAATGTCAGTAATTATCGACCAATATCTATCCTCTCTGTTTTTTCAAAAATTTTAGAAAGAAATATGTTCAACCAAATATCTAATAATCTTGCTGTTAATAATATACTTTACATAAATCAATACGGTTTTAAAAGAAATAACTCTACTGAACATACAATAATTCATCTTACTCGTAGTATAACTGATTCATTCGAAAAGTCAGAGTTTACTTTAGGCGTCTTTATAGACTTATCGAAGGCTTTTGACACAATTAACCATGAAATACTGTTTAAAAAACTTGAACATTATGGTATCACCGGTAATGTTTTAAAACTACTTAAAAGCTATTTAAAACATCGCAAACAATTTGTCTATGTCGACGGATCTTCTTCACAAGATTACCTAAATATAACTTGTGGAGTTCCACAGGGATTTATACTAGGGCCTTTATTATTTCTAATTTATGTTAACGATCTCCATGAAGTCTCAAAATTAACTACTATAATGTTTGCTGATGATACAAACCTATTTCAATCTAATAACAACATCAATAAACTTTTTTATGATATGAGAATTGAACTAACAAAAATATCTGACTAGTTTAAGTCAAATAAAATTTCACTCAACATTGATAAAACTAAATTGATTTTCTTTCATCCACGAATTTAAAAAATTTACTTCCAAGTAATATGCCTCTTCTTCATATTGATAATATTCAAATAAAATTTTCACTAATTTTCTAGGTATCATTGTAGATGAAAATTTATCATGGAAGAATCACATCGGACATTTATGCAACAAAATTGCAAAAAGCATTGGAGTTTTATATAAAGCAAAAAGCGTTTTAAACAAACATTCATTAACACAACTATATTACTCTTTTATACACTGTCATATTAGTTATGCTAACATTGGATGGGGTAGTATCCATAAAAATAAATTAAAGCCTTTTTATTGTTCTGCAGAAGCATATTGCACGTCTTATAAATTTCAAAAATCGTTTTACTCATTCAAGGTCACTCTTATTTACTTATTAAATAAAAAAAATAATAATAAAAATATAAATATTATTATTATAAAAAAAAAAATAAAATAACAAAAAAATAACAAAAAAATTGATGTATGTGAATGGATATATCTGCAAATATTGTATGTATGATACTTCTGGAAGTTAACCATCCTTTGACAGTGGTTTAACACTTTTGTTGGTGGAAGCGTAAACGCACCAACATTTGATAATTTTGGCTTCACACCATCATTTGGCTTTCTAAATTTTTCTACACAATCTTTTGGACAACCTTGAAGTGCATTTGGATGTACCTAGTGCAGTCGTATTCTTATTATTTTCACTTATTAATTAATTAACAATTAAGATTAATGTAATTGTAAGATGCATTTGAGTAACAAGGTTCAGTGATCGTATAGATGCGAGACGTATTTGTTTATCAAGAATATGATGGTATTATTGTTTTCGCTTGAGTCAAGCGATTCAGAAGAATTAGTATTTTAACTCAAGCCATAAAAGACCACGACTAAAGAAAAGTTTAAAATTTGTATTTATTTATTTTTGTTTTTATTCTAAAATCTAAATTAAGTTCAAAGTTCTTCAACAGCGGTTCTCGGTGACAAGACCTAAATGGTCTTTTTTGAGTGTCCGCGTTCTTTATCTTCATTCTTTATTTTTTAACGGTTTCTTTGCATGTAATAGTGCATGCAATTAAAATAAACTTACTAGACTCAATTACAATTTATTTTCCAACATATTCAAATATTGGTATTTTTTCTTCTCTTATGAAAACACACCTTTATGTTCCAGGTATATGTATGTGTGATAACATTAAAGTAAGGTTTATATATAAACAACATTAAAGTAAAAATTTATTCCATGAAAATTCTATTTGTCGGTCACTTAAATTAGAAATATCAAACTAACCGTTTTAACAAGTTGTTAACCGTATAAACAAAATGGTTGTGCATTAGATGGAAGAGGTGTGGCAAGAGTTATTACTTTTGGCATATTAAATGTTTTCTATTAACTCTGGCATGTTTCTTTCTTTTTCTTTATTTGGCGTAACTGGGCCAATTTTTAAATATATTGCATAATTCTTTTCTAACCGTTGTTTTAAAGTTTTTCTTGGTTCCATCTTTGGTCAGGTCTTGTTTCTTATCTGTAATAATGCTAATCTTACCTCTAAAAGGCTCTTTTTGCTAGTGACACAACAATATTGTATAATCATGGAAAAAAGGCATTGCTTTTTATTGTTTAATGCTAATAAATACTTCAATATTATTGATATTTCTATTTTGGTAAATAGCAGCACTCTTACCAAGTCCCGCAGTTACCAAGACTTTACGTCTCTAATACTGTTGTCATCTTTTGTTTAGTTATTCCAATGTTGCTTTTTCGCTTTTAAACGAGTTATAAAGGAAATTGAATCTGCGTAGCTGTCATGTTTGAGTCTCTGTTTCATTGTCGTAGGTTGCAAGTTTTTCTCTATTCTACCAAAAATTACTTTTTGGTAGAATAGAGAAAAACTTCCAACTTAAATAGTTTTGGATTGCAGCTTTGTCAAAAATAAACTTATAAAATCGAAAACAAAAAAATTCTATTAGTTTTAATATTTAATAATATAAATCAACTACTAATATTATGTTAAAACCTATTTCTTACAGCTTAATATCTTAACGAATTTTTATTTTAATTCTTTTCTTAACTTACAAAATTTTAAAAAAAGCCAGTTTTATCCTGCTAAGTTATAAAAATACCATACTAATCAGCACTGTTTTCTTTTTTTGAACAAGCTAGATTTATATAATTAATTAGGCAATATCCGTCCGGATGTACTTTATTTACCGTTGACGACCGGATATGTTGAAACACCTCTTATAAAAACATAGTTTAATATAATAAAATAGCGTCCGCCGAAGCATGATTTAAAAAAAAAATTATCAATTATATTATTATAGACAGATATAAGTTAATATCAAATTGTTCAAATATTGGCAATTATTCTCAAATTTGAGGTTTATTTAAAACCGAAGATTTCAATTTTCCCCTAATTAAATCAACTTTTAACAGATAAATGTAAATACGTTATTAAACTGCAAGTGAACTAAAAAAAAAAAAACAAAAAAAAACAAAAAAACAAAAACAAAACAAAACAGTGTCATTTTGTGTTTACCTATCGGGTAATGACTGTCATTAAATTATATTGACTGGACTGTGCTTATTTTTTTACTTAAGATAATTAAGTTACGCCAGCTTCATTTTAACTAGTTTGATTTGTTTTTCAAACTAATAATTTGTTATTATCAGTTATAAGTTTTGGGAAATATTACTTTATTTAAAATACTATCTATATTTTTTAAGGTCAACTAGTGTAGATTGCTGTCTACTTTATAAACAAGTATAATTAGAGTAAGAAACAAATTAAATTTATAAAACTGTTTTTTTTTTTTTTTTTTTTACAAGTTTAGTGTTATCTTTTGCACACAGTTTGCACTGTTGAATTAGTTGTCTACTTAAATATATGAAATATACTTTGCAAATGCACCTGTAATCCCGAGTTTATAAAATTTTTTAAAAACATATCGCAGTTACTTGAATATCATGGTTACGTTTAGACATTCATTGTAACAAACTGTTTTTAAAAAGTAGAAAAAATATTTATCTTGAAAAATAGTGCAAGGAATTTTTACTTTTTGAATGTCATATTTTGAGTGTAGAGCAGTAAATATATATGTAAAATATTGTTCCCAACCTAAAGAATTAGCAAATAAAAAGTAAAATATGGAATAAAAATATTGTTCTCAATTTTTTTGGTTTGTATGTATAATTTTTTTTCTTAAAGTTTGTTTAAAGTTAAAGAAATTCCATTCATAGTAAAATATATTGGTACAGTTTATAATTGTTTTTGAAAAAAAATACAATATAAAAAAATCTCAAACTTAATTAGCTATGAAAAAAGTATGATATATTATTTTAGGTTAAAAAATTATACAAATGACTGACAAAGAAAAAAGTGGTGAAAAAGGTATACTTGGGGAAAAGGGTATACTCGCTCGTACTGCAACATATACTACTAAAACAGCAAAAAGAGCACAGACGAAGGTAAGGTAATTAAAACATTTTTAAAACTCAAAAAATATCAGCATAGTTACTTTTAAAAACAAAGCAATTATGAATTCTTTTATAGTCTCTATATATCTTGAAAATTTAATTTAACATTTTTTTTTTAATATTGAATTTTTTTTAATTTTGCACCAGGATTCTTTTTTGAATACATGTGATTTTGCATTGTAAAGATTTATGATGATTTTTAGGATTTTTGTATTAAAATAACTTTTGCTTTTATGTAATTTTAATTTTTAAATTTAATTTATTTAGTCTATAGAAAATTATTAACAAAGTTCTTTTATAAAGTATATGTGTAATTTCAAGATTTTAAAAGTTAGATTTTTATAACACGTTGTTAGGGTAAATAAAGTCATTAAAAATTTTTTTAATGACTTTAAAATGCTTTTATCACATGTTTTTGTTATTAATCAGTTATTATGTCAGTTATTAAAAAAGCTTTTTAAAATATTTAAATGTAAACTTTAATTTAAAGAATAATATTAAAAGATTCTTTTAATTAATTATGTCAGTGATGTAGGGAGTAAAAACATCACAATTTTAAATTTGGTTTATAAAGACCAAAATTATTTGTAATAGATAGATTGAAACAACTTGGTGGTAATGGTGGCTTTTTATGTTTTCAATGTTACAGGTTTACATCTATATCAGCTTTAGATAAAATAGAGGTACTATCCTATTACAAGTCTGCTAAAGATAAACACTTTTATTTGGACATCTCAAGTTGTTACACAACCATAAGCCCCAGGGCAGAGGTGTGTCTTTAGTCAGAATTATTTGCTCTTAGCCTTTGGTTAGAAAAACAGCATCTAAAAAAATGCGTATATGTGGCTGATTTACTGGTTTATATGTTACTCGTTAAAGGATTATCATGATGGTTTTGCTCTTGACTATACTTCACTTTTTTTTGAGACATATTAACATGTTTTATAGAATTTACTTTTGAGGCAAAGGCTAGGAGAAACAAACTCCCCTTCCTTGGTACTCTTGGTTGAGTATAGGCTAGAGATGGTGTCTCCATAAAAATACTCATCTTGGACAGATGTTAACTGCATCCGGCTACTGTCTTGTAGAAAGCCTCCTATACACAGATTTTAAGGGTAAACAAAATAATACTGTTGACCAGCCTTAAACCTTTATCTATTTATTCTTTATCTATTAAGCTGATATAGATGTAAACCCGTGATAGGGGTTTATGTCTTTTTGACTCTACTCTAGATTTTTGCTTGTGCCTTCTTGATAGTGGTTATTCAACTCTTCCTGTTATAATAACATAATGAGTGTACAGCTCTAAAACTAAGTTTCATAGTTCTTAGGTCAGCTGTTAGTAAGATTTCCCAAACTTTATGGTAACTCTGAGAAAGACTGATTGCATCAATAGCTGTAAAATATCAGATTATCTACAGTGAGATGTTGCGCATGTATGGTGTTCCTGTAAGTATTTTTGATATGCATTGTCGAGGCCACATAAGGAGCCCTAAGTTTCAACTTTAGGTTAATTAGCTGGAGACAGCTGAGACAACTGTATAGTTCATTGCTTAAGATGCTGTACTTTTTCTATGAATGAGTCATATTTTCTTTAAACTTAAACCAAGCTCAAAGTAACCAAAAATATTAAACATAAAAAACCATCATCACCTAACTGTTTCAATATATCTTTTTTAAAAGAACAAATCTCTTGAGAACAAAAGCCTACTTATTATTGCAAGAAATCGATGTAAAAAGGTGCTTTATTAGGCTAAGTTCCATTATTCCCAGTTTACTAAACCTTGTATCTTATCTTAGAAGTTAGGCAGAACTGTTTGCAAAGAAGCTTTTTTCTAATAAGGCTCTTGAATCTTATGGCCATAATTTTCCTTTCATTCCAGTTAGACAGGTTAACCCATTGTTAGACGTTTAAATCACTCCAGTTTCTGTTGCTAAAAATTCAATTAAACTCTACTATGGCAATAGTAAGTGACCAGAAATTTGTGACTGGGACTGGCTTTGTGACTGGGACTGCATAAACATTGAATATCCTTAAGTGGGGAGCCCATCTGCAAAACGCAATAAGTCACAAAAATTTATTTTTTGATTTAATTTGATTTCTATATTATGTATACTGAAATCCATCATCTATTTAAATATTACTTCTATTAGTCCTAAAAATAGGTATGGAAAGTATCAAAATGTTTTCAAAACATATTAAGTCAAACTAGGTTAAAGCTTTAAAACATGCTAAGTCAGAAGCCAATCAGTGAGCGATAAGTGGCGTCATGTTTTTTTAACAATCAATGAAAAGTCTGCTTATACTAATCATTAGCGTGGCGCATCAAATCATTTAAAATTTATCACCTAATACAAAATGACAGAAATCAGAAAAAGTTTTATAGCTGTTGGAGAAAAAGCAAACAACCATCTTACTAAGGAAAAGAAAACAAAAAGAAAGGTAGTATCTGTTATTTTTTTCTTAACTATAAGTAATAAACGCCATATATTTTTTTATATCTACTCTAATGTGTCTAATACATGGGAGGGGACTTTAATTAATTTTTGTAAACTTTTCCCATCCATCCAAGCTTATTAAAACCACCCCCCTTTCCCCCTCCTCCGTTTATTGATTTTTAATTAAATTTAATAGTTTATTTCTCTTTTATAGAAAAAGACCCAGTAGATGAGAAAGATACTATATGCAATTGTCTTGGAGAAAATGCTGCTTGTAATCATGTTTAACTTATTCATTGTACAGGATTTTCTTTGGTCAATATTTTTAATACAAAAACTACAACTTTTACCATAGTGTTTTGTTTGTTCCCATTATTTTATACTATTACTTTTTTCAATAATTCATGAAAATCAAAGCTTTTCCTTTGAAATCATTTTGTTGCTTTTTTAAAACAAAACAAACCTTGTATGAATTCAATAAAGCTTATATATATATATATATATATATATATATATATATATATATATATATATATATATATATATATATATATATATATATATATACTCTTGCATGTCTCTTGCGTGGCATCAAAAAAAGTTTCCCATAAACTGTAGTTTTAAAGAGCGCGTTAATAAACCAGACCAGAAAAAGATTTAAAAATTTAAAAATTACATTTTTTTTTTTTATTGATAGACTGCCTGGCCAAACCAAACCCTCAGTCGATGTAGCAGCACTCTCTTGCGAGTCAGGCTATTTGTCAGTCGTTGTAGCAGCACTCCCTTGCGAGTCAGGCTATTTGTCAGTCGATGTAGCAGCATTTCCTTGCGAGTCAGGCTATTTGTCAGTCGATGTAGCAGCACTCCGTTGCGAGTCAGGCTATTTGTCAGTCGATGTAGCAGCACTCCGTTGCGAGTCAGGCTATTTGTCAGTCGATGTAGCAGCACTCCGTTGCGAGTCAGGCTATAAGATAGTCGATGTAGCAACATTTACGCATGTTTTAAAAATGTTTTTTTTTAAATCAATAACAAAAACACAACTAATTAAAAAAAACTTTCTAGTCGTTATAATTGCGGTTTTTAAAAAAACTTTTAAAAAACAATTAAATTTAATGTACTTCCGCATAAATTAATTGCTTTGACATTTCGATGACAATCAAAAACAGCTTAAGAGACGAGGTAATTAAAATTGTAGTCGTAAGAGACTTTTTTTACATTAAAACGCTCTTTCGACTACACTATAAGGGTATATATATATATATATATTAGGGTGGTCCATAAAACAACTTTTTTGAGAAAAACCTGCTGACACCCCCTAAATGTGTTTTATCTAATGCAAAAACACTAGGTTTAAAATTTTTTTGAACAAAAATTATTTTTAGGGGTAGCTCAAGGCCCTCAAAAATTTGACGGGTCCCTAATATTTTGAAAAAAAAACTTTTTCTAAAGTATGTCAACCTGGTACTCAAAAGAAGCGATATTGTATAAAAACTTCAAAAATAATAATCATTTTACATAAAAAACATGCCTAAAAAAAATTATTCTCAAAAAACCTGAAAATATTGACTTTTTTTATTTTCAGCTTAAAAACAATAGTTTTTATGCATTTATACCTAAAAAAATTATTTTTATAAAAAATTATTATCATTTTTAAATTTTTTATATAATTTTGCTTATTTTGAGTACCAGGTTGACATACTTTAGAAAAAGTTTTTTTTTCAAAATATTAGGGACCCGTCAAATTTTTGAGGGCCTTGAGCTACCCCTAAAAATAATTTTTGTTCAAAAAAATTTTAAACCTAGTGTTTTTGCATTAGATAAAACACATTTAGGGGGTGTCAGCAGGTTTTTCTCAAAAAAGTTGTTTTATGGACCACCCTAATATATATATATATATATATATATATATATATATATATATATATATATATATATATATATATATATATATATATATATATATATATATATGTATATATATATATATATATATATATATATATATATATATATATGTATATATATATATATATATATATATATATATATATATATATGTGTGTGTGTGTGTGTGTGTGTGTATAGTTTTTTGTAAAATAACCTTTTTCAAAATAATCTAAGTCCATCTAACATTATCAAAATGAGTTAAGTCAATAAATTAATCAGGTATTTCATGATCCTATTGATTTGCATTTTTTCCTATGCGCATACTTTATTTGTATCATTACACTAAAGTAACTTTTACTAACAAATTTTTTTTTTGAGCGAAAAATGTGTGGGTCAGTTTTCCTCCGATATTTCAAAATCAATTTGCTCGGACTTAATGCGTTTTGCAAATGGGCTCCTTGAGTATATTTTTTTGATTCAAAGTTCATGTTATATTTTATATATATAAATATATTCTTTACGCGGTTCTTTGTGTTTAATGCAATGAGATTTAAAATGCAAGTAATAACATAAACTTATAAATTTTTGCAATAGCATGATATAAAAAAATAGTTTAAAGTTTCTTTGATCGGAACTATAACATTTTTCTTAATTGTATCACTTAATCAGTGATATAATCAAAGGGTTGAGGAAATAGTTTAGGCGCAATTTATTTTTTGTAAAACTTCATATTGCCCAGGGATTATGAATAAATAGCAAACATGTTTATACTCGTATATATTGATAATGAGTGCCAGTATTTAATAAATAATAAACATATGCATAAATTTATAATGTTATGTATTACAAACATTTTCCTATTCCCAGCTATTAATCTCTGCTAAATCTTATACTTTTGCCAGGAGCCGGTTTTAAAAAGTCACATTTTTAGCTGGAGCGGAGCTTGGGCCCTGGTCACTTACTAATTATAAAGTAAAAATTGTCAGAGTTTTGAAAAGTTATATAATTGAAAAAAACACTTGTATCAATGCAACTAAATAAGTTTAATTATTTTGTTAGCTAATTAATAATTATTTTTTAAAAATAATTATTAATTATTGTTATTTTATTTTGATTTTAGTCTTTTTTTTTAAGTTAAAGCAAAAAGTTGGCAAAGGGGATGAAACTAAAGATGAAGTCTTCGATGAGTTTGTTGCCAATTTCAATAAGCAGCAGGTTAGTTTGATTGACAATAAATTTATAGTGTAGGGATTGACCACTGAAATATAATTCTGTTGGTAACTTTTCTCTTAAATGTATAGTTTTTGAACTTTTTTTGATTTTTGGAATAAATTGTTATTCAAAGGAATGAGGCCATCTTTGTTTATTATGGTTTTAAAAGTATACACAAATAAAATAGATGTATACATAAATAAAATAGATGTAATAAAGAAAAACTCAATTAAAGTCAGCTAAATTCAAAAACATGAATTTTCCTAATGATGTAGCTCAAGTGACTTTGTGAATACAACTGAATACTTTAACTGAATACTTATCTAATATTTCAACAAGTATTTAAAAAAATTTTTAAATACCTAATTGTAATTTTTTTTCATTCCCTAATAAAAAAATACTTATCTAAAATTTAGATTAATTTTAAAAACAATCATTAGTTCTTTTACATCTGCTATAACTCAACAGCTGTGTGGTTTTTATGACTTGTATATTTTTAATGGGATTTATAAATTTGCCAAGAGGTCCATTTATTTCAATTCCAATAATATCTGTTTTTATGAAACCAAGACTCTAATAAATTAGTTGCCCCAATTTTAAAGGTAACTTCGTCAATTAACTTTTTTTATTTTTATTTTTAAAAATATCAAAGCCATTAAATTTATTATTATATACATGAAGTTTACATATTTCATAATGAATAAAAAAATGTATTAGATGTCAATATAATTTATTAGTGGTTTTTAGGCAAGTCCAATGTAAGAATCTTGCTTTCTTGTTATAAAATTTTTGTCCAGATACCCCCATTTTGCTATACAGTTTATTTAGTGTATCATTTTATAGAGAATCTTGTGTGATGTTTTTAAAAAAACTTTATGGAGAGTCTGATCTCTAATCATGGGCACTTCTAAGTGAGCCAAAAGAATAGTCCTCCAAGGAGCCTAAAGAATTGTCTTCCAAGTGAACCAAAAGTCAAATATTGGAATGAAGTATTAAATAAAAACATATAAAGATTTTTTATTTTTGGCAAATAAAGATTTCTAAATTTAAAAAATTTATAAATTGTAATGTTTAAATTTAAATTTCTTATGTTTTTTTTTTTCACGGTTCACATAAATTTATGTCTTTACAGGGCATAAATAAAACAAGTGTAAAACAATAATAAAACAATGGTTTTCTTTTGCAACATACCTCAATCAAAATAATTTGTAGAATGCTTCTTAAAAATTATTAGCTTCTTTAAAATTATTTCACCTATATTTATATGGCTATATTAATAAATGTATTTATACTATTAAATATATTATTATGAGACAGAAATTTACAGTGAATTAGTAAAACAATGGTAATTCTTTTTTTTCCTGTTACATACCTCAGAGAAGTCTGTAGAATGTTGCTTTATGAAAATTATTTCAACTATATTTATATGACTATATTAATAAATATATTTATATGAGAGCTTTATAGAAAATGTTTGTTAGCAGCATATCTCCCATGTTTGAACCTGCAGTTGTTGATATTTTTTTATTCTTAAGTATTTAAATGCAAAAAACTCATTAATGTTCTTATCTGGATTTCATAAGTAAAACTTTTTATCTGATTTTTGTTAAAAAATCAGAGTTTCCAATCAAGTAATATTACAACAACCCAGAAGTTGTAAATGTTCGTTAATAACCAGGTATTTGTAAATGTTTTATATTGATTAGTAAATTCAACAGTTTTGTTAACAACCAGAGCATTGTAATAGTTTGTTAAGCAGGATTCTGTAAATAACTGCAGTTAACAGGTAGGTATATAGTTCTACATATCTGACAAATTATTAAAGTCATATATCTTTACAAGTAATAGATTTGTTCAAGCTAAGAGAGTTGTTTTAGGTCGCAATTTTTCAATAAATGTTTTCTTTTACAAAGTCTTTAACATGCACAGGAAATGTGTTAACTGTTCACTGAGTTGTGACATTTAGCTGTCTGTGACATAGAACTATCCATAGTTTTAAAGCATGTACCATCAATTGGTGTTTGGAAATTTCCAAAAAGCTGTGTCTATGCATCAATATAATTTGTTCATCAGAGAAGGAAATAAGAATGGCATGTAAAATTAGAATGTGACCAATATTTGCCATAATATATATATATATTTTTTAACATCTTCGCTTCCAACAAGGCTGCAAGCAACCTCTAATTAGTGTTGGAAGTTACTGGAAGAGAAAAGATATATACTATGAGGCATAGTTTTTTTAAGTTTTTTCAGGCTGCTTGAACTGCACATTATCTTGAAATGTGCTGAACTACTTTAAAAAATTAGATTTTCATTACATTTTTAGATTTTCAAGAAAAGAATCTTTCTTTCTGCTTGAGCAAATACTGCATTATGCAGATCTTATGACAACAAGCTAACTAAATATTTGATACTTATAAATCTTTTTTATAAGAGTTTACGATGTTTTGAGTCCCCTGGATTTTTATATCTAATTAAATAATTAATATATACATTATATTTAATAATTGTAATTATAATATTCATTATATTTAATAATAATAATTATAATTATAATGTAAAGTTAACATTTATAATGTTAACTTTACATTGTCTAATAAATTTTACATTGAAAAAACATTATAAAAATTTTTTAGTCAACTCTTCAGGTTCTAAAGATGATATTTTTTCTAATGACGATATTTTTCTAATGGCGATATTTTTTCTAATGGCAATATTTTTTCTAACAGTGATATTTTTTCTTTTTTGATTTTTTTTGGGATTAAGAAAATGTTTTTGATAAAGTTTCTAATAAAAAAAACAAACTTTATTAAAAGTTTAAAAACATTTTAATAAAGTTTTTTTTTTTTTTTTTTGACTTACAAAATTATTTTAAAACTTTTCATAAAATTTATTGTCATAATTTTATAAATTGATATAAAATATTAGTTATAAAATTTATAATATTTTTTAATAATTTTTTTAAAAATTAATTTTGAATTAAGCAAAAAAATATATATAATATTTTTTTGGTTTTTATTTGAATTTGTTTTTGTTTATTTATTTACTCAAACTTGAAACTTCTCGCTTATGAAGCAAGCGCTCTACCACTACACCTCATTTATACCCTTATAATTTATTTATTCAAACTTGAAACTTCTTGCTTATGAAGCAAGCGCTCTACCGTTACACCTCATTTATACCCTTATAATTTATTTACTCAAACTTGAAACTTCTCGCTTATGAAGCAAGCGCTCTACCGCTACACCTCATTTATACCCTTATAATTTAATTAGTAAGAAAAGTAGAATTAAAGTGTAAAAATATTATAAAATATAAAATTTATAAATATAGAATTTATAAGATTAAGATTTATATGAGAAAAGAGAAAAAAAATTAAATAAAAAGGAAATTTTACAATCAAGAGCAAATAAGGTTAAAAATTTTAAAAAGAAAAGTATAAACAAAAATAAAAGCTGAACAAATTTTTTAATGTTTATTTACAAAATTTTATGAAAAACACAGTCTTCATGATAATCTAAATGCTGTTTCATTCTTTTATAGGCTGCTGTGACATCATTGAATGCAGAATTGAGAAATTACTTACGCTGCATAACAGGTTTATCAATATGATAGATTAAATTCAAAATTAATACTTTTCATATACAAATAATGTCAATTATTGTGTGCCATGCTGTTTTATCATAAATACAGACATTTAAAAAAAATTTACATTTAATGAATCATGTTAAGTCTACCACATTTAATGAAAATTTATTAATTGATGTTTGTTTGCACCCTCTTGCACATAAACCCTTGATTGGAATATATATATAATTGATTAACATAAAAATACTGCATGATAATTTTGTGAAATATATATATATATATATATATATATATATATATATATATATATATATATATATATATATATATATATATATATATATATATATATATATATATATATATATAATTGAAAATACATAATTTATGGTGACATACTATTTATTTAACTTTGAAAAATTATATTGATTTTAAATGTTATATTTTGAAAAAAATATTATTTTCAAAAATTCGTTATTTACAATAATAGTGTCATTGCTGCGTTATATTATATAATAATATTTTGCAGAAAACCTAGGAGGCTATTGAAATTGGCAAATTGCAGTGTTGCTACTCAAAATATATTTTTAAATATAAAAAACATTTATAATATTATGCAGCAATGACATCATTATTGTAAATAACGAATTTTTATAACGTGTTCTAGTTTGAAAATGGCTCCGACTTTATGAGGCAAAATATTACACTTAAAATTAATAAAATTTTAATAAGTTAAATAAAGATTATGTCACTGTAAATGATGTATTTTCAATTTTATATATAAATCTCATCATACTATTATGATGTCATTAAAATATTATATATATATATATATATATATATATATATATATATATATATATATATATATATATATATATATATACATGCATCCATACATACATACATACATACATACATACATACATACATACATACATACATACATACATACATACATACATACATACATACATACATACATACATACATACATACATACATACATACATTCATACATACATATATGAAGGACTTTTGTTATCTCGATCTGTTTCATTTGGTCCATTAAAATTCTCTAATTGATTAATTTAAAAGTCAAACCTTGGATAACTCAAACTTTGTTTAGTCAAACCATTTTTTTGTCCCCTCTCAGCAAATTTCTTTGGATAACTCGAACTTTCTGTTTGGGAAATAAAGATATTAAAATAACTTAAAGTTTTTTTTAAAAAAGTCATTCCATATAAAACATAAATAACTGTAGCGTAATATTTTCTTTTTTTGTTGATGTTGTATTTAGATCTCATAATGAGGACTGCTATGTTAAGTTTAAGACTTTTGTGTGACAGGTGTGTTAGAAGCAACTTTTTGCTTTTAACTTGTTCTTTAGGTTATAACTAAGAAAAAAAATTGGATGCTAAAAAATTTTTATTTGGGGCTGGGACCCATGATGTCAAACTTGTTATAGTCAACAAAAAAATAATAATAGTAAGTTTAAAAAATATATGTTATACGAAAGAGCTTGTCAAACGGAACAAAAAATATGTAAAAACCATATGAATCTGTGAATGTTAAAAGGATGGAAGTCCAACAATGTAAACATTTGGGAAACTAAAAAAAACTGCATTTCCCCTCGTAGTAAATTTTTGTTAATAACCTAATAATTTTTTTTTTGAAGAGAATAATGTTTTTCACCTTCAAAAAAAGTTTAATAAACCATTAACAAAAATTCACTACAGGGTGTGAAATAAAGTCTTTCTAGTTTCCTGAAAATTTACATTGTTGGGCTTTTTAACATTCACAAATTCATATGCTGAAAAGATTTCCTTCCCAAGACATATCACTTTTAAGAATGTATAAAACACAAATCCAGAATTTACATACTCGCATAAAAAGACTAAAAAATGGTTCTTTTATTCCAGGTTTGTTATATATGCATTTTGTTAAATGAATTGTTATTGATATAAATTTTCTATTAAAAGCAATTATCTATTATATACAACAAATGGAAGTTCGTTCTATGGGAAATTAAGTTATTTCATTGGCATGTTTTTTCATTAAGTATAATGTTTCGCTTCAAAAAGCGAATTCTCAAAGTCTTCTCTTAAAAAGCGAATGATTTTTTTTTTTTAAACTGAATTAAAGTTATTAAACATCATCATCTTGATGTTTTGGAATTAAATAAATAAAAAATAAAAAACTGATATGAAGAATGTTATTAACAGTAAACAAAGGAAATCACAGAAGGAATTTTCAAGATGCATTGTTTGTCAGAATTGATACTGAGAAAGAGGTCAGTTCAGTCATGTTGCAACTTTTCTATTTTGTAATTTAGACATTTTATTTTATTTTAAATTTGAGAATCGTTACTAATATTTATGGCACAACATTAGTCAGATTTGCAATTAATCAATTGTAATTACATCTTCAGACTTGGTGAACTTCATATTGTATTTGTTTTTTTTAAAGTAATTGGTAAATATACAGAAGGTAGTGGTCCTGACACAGTCCTTACAGAGGCAGGTATATACCAACATACAACGTTACGTCAAATTGTTGACGGAAAGCACATGAGGCAATGCATGGAAGCGCATATGAATATTTATCTTTCTTTTAACAAACTTTATTTAGAAATCTCATTACAACAACATCCACAACTCATCAATGAATAATGGATCGGAAAAGCTTGTTACTGCTATAACTGATACCGAGTGCAATTTGAAAGTAATTACTGAAAATTGTGTTTTAGATATCAAAGATTGCAGAGTTTTTACTATCTTTGATGAATTCAATAAAAATTTGATAAAAATTTGATGAATTCACAAAAACCACTATTCTTGTGTAACTACATGATCATGTGTGAAGCTTTGCTACTCTTTGTTTGCTCATCTTCCAAAAAAAACTGTTCATTATATTCTGCTTCACTTGACAGTATTGTAAAATATTTCTTTGCATTTGACCAGATAAATTACACTTGCTTTACTCCATTGTATTTGACAATATTGATTGAACTTGAGTCATTTACAATCTTGGAATTATCTAAAAGAAAACTTTGCAATCAGTAAAAGTGAAAACTTTGTAATCAAATTAAAATTGAAATACCATTAATAAGCATTGGTTCTGATCACACCTAGGAGCAAGAAAACAAAGTGATTAAAGTGACTTGTAACGTAAAAGACTTGACTCAAAATCTTTCTGGTTTGCAACACTTTTGTTTAACTGCATCAATACTAAATGCATTGTCTAAAGATTTCTGTAATAAGAACAATATTAGTTCTCAAAGTCCATCTTGCCATTATCAGCTAACTGGATTAACTTGTAACAGATTTCCTATAAATGTTCGAAAATTACTGGATACATTTAAAATGTTTGATGTCAGTTTTCAAGGAAATGAATCAGTGATGAACATTATATGTAATACAATATTACTTATAGAGATTTCAAAAAAGTTGTTACAATAGAACAACTGATAGAAATCATTACTAATCATGCAATGGCTGGTAATGATTTTTACCAGTGTTTCATTAAAGAACATTTAATTGGATCTGAATTAGTTTAGTCACTGCTTAATAAGTGTGCGCTGCCAATGTTTTAAACACAAGGAAAAAAGATTACTACTTCAAACAAATAAACTTTGAAAAATTGAGAAGAAACTTGTTCAACTAAAAGAAGAAAAATCATTACTTTCACAATTGTTACAACACAGAAACGACCAGAGCTAGACTTAGAAGAATGTATTGGCAACTACAAGTTTTCTATTGTACCAAAATCAATGTTTACAGATGGCGGACAGCCCTGCTTTCCACGGATAAATACAAAAGACTTCATGAGATAGAATCGTTATGAAAAGAAAAGTATTCAGTAATACCTAACCACAATATGACAAGCAATACCTAGAGAATAATCATTATTGACCGAATGGTGTTGGTAAACAGAGTTCACAAAGTAGCTTAAATAAAAATGTGGAAGGTAGACCCTTTTTATTCTAAAAATAACATTATTAAAAAAGTCATAATACTTACTAAATATTTGAACATAAAAGAGTTATTTAAGATTTAAACCTTAAAAGAAAATTGTTCTAATTTTTTCTAAGGACTTTGCCAAACATTTTGTTATTTCACTTTTGAAAATTGTAAATGATTACAATGAAATTAGACTTGTATTTGATTAATATATCAATCATTCCCTTAGAACTAGAACAAGATTAAAGCAAACATCTGGAAACTATTTAAAGTACAAAATTTCCAATAAAGAAGATATTAGCATTTGTTATCTAATAAAGAATATAGAAACTAAGTGCGGCATATAACTATATACCTATCAGAATATAGAAACTAAGTGCGGCATATAACTATATACCTATCAGAATGATCTTATGATGCAATAAAAGATCAAAAAATGTATTTTTCAATTGCATATGAATTAAAAACAGTTACAAATATCTCCAGTTTCAATATTAAGTTGCTAATCCATGATCACAAAGATGCAGACACTACCCTAGTGCTCCATGCCATTGATATTGCAAGATATAATTTGTTTTCAGAGTTCTAGCTTTTCTCCCCAGATACAGATGTACTTTTGTTGCTAATATTTTACTGTGAATATTTACCTCTTGCATTATACTTACGAACTGGAAAAGGATCAGAACGTAACATCAGTATCAAGAATTGTTTTGAGGCACTTGGTTTCAAACATTCAAATGCTTTATTGGGTTTCCATGTGTTAACAGGATGTGACCAGACTGGCCGCTTTTATGGAAAATCCAAATTTAAGTGGCAGAAGTCATTCATGATTGCAAATGACAAGATTCAATATGCATTATCAATGTTAGGCAATACTGAGTCATTGCCGAATCAGGTTACACTTAGAGATATTGAGCGCTTTGTAGTCAACACATGAATTAAAAAATATTCCCAATAAAAAATCAACCTTGGCTAAGCTAAGATGGTTTCTCTTCCCAAAGTATCATCAAGATGCTGCGCAGTTACCACCTACCATGAGCGCTGAAAA